TAAAAATAAAAATTAGATACTGTTTTAATTGCATTATTTGAAATTATAGAAAATGTAAATTCATCTTTAGTAAAAGAAAACAGATTACTACCTTCCTAATTGTGAAGTAGGGTGTGATAGGAAAATTTGAGGAAATAGTCATAAATTAACAATTTCTGAGCTACTGAATTATGCACTATCCTGATTATAGTGATGGTTTTGTGGATAAATAGGTTGATCACAAGTCATCAACTATTAAATATTTCAGTGTGTTTTCTGCCAATTACAAAGTAAAACCATTTAAAAAGAAAAAACATATAATCAGCTCCATCTAATGACTGGAAAGGCATATAATTAATTTACCAGTAAGAAGCTTTCTAAAAGTTCACTAGTAGGACATGAGAATTACTTATTGAGTTACTTCAGGAGCAAGTAGGCATTTGTTCAGCACACACATTTAATGATATTTTTTCAAATATTTCAGAACTTATTGACCTATCCAAAGGTTGTTTTGCCAAAACACAGATTGTGAGAATAAAAATTACCGTTATTCAATGCTGGTTTTGGACTATCTCCTGGATTTCAAATTATATTCAGTCCTAGTTTACGAGCAACACAAGAAAACTACTTTAGTTGTTTTATGGTCACACCTGGCAAATGAAATCCTTATTACATTTCCAACTATAAGCGAGGATTCCTAAAATGTATTGAAAACAGCCCAGCTTTCACAATGTGTAACACACCTTCCTTTGGCAATTTCCTTAGTGACCATTTTTTTGAAGAACACTACCTTGAAATAAAATTGGCTTATTTCCTCCTTTGGAGTGTACATAGTAAAAGTCAGACATTTTACAATAATGGAACCACATATTTGTAAGTAGAAAAAGAATATCTGAAGTGAATAAAACAGCAAAATTTGAAACTAGTCATGTCAAAAGATCGGTATAAATTCCCCATTTTATCAGCATTTATTTTATCCACCTTTGGCATAGTATACATCTCTTGGAGAATTTTTATATCACTCTTAATTGTATACTACTAAAAACATTAAAAAATATAATTCAAACTACTTGTTTTTACCAGATTAACAACTGAACATTGTCTGAAACTATAGTATTGATTTTAGAATACACATTTTTCACAAGAATCCAAACACCAATGCATTTCAAATGCCTTGCATCTAAATAAACTAATACTTTTTCAAGTTCACTTTCCATGAGTTTTTGAAGAACTCTCAGATGTAGACAGACATTTTTCATGAAGGATTGAAACATACAATGATGGGAGAATCAAGATGGTGGAATAGGGTAAGGACACGTTTAAATGGACAGAGAAACAATCAGGATGAAGCAGAGAGGGCACATTCCAGGAAATAGGAGATGATACAACAACAGCAGAAGGGTACCTGGAGACTGACAGACACAGGAAAGTAGAGGACGGTGTGGTGTTGCAGTGACTGATACCCCAGCAGCATTCAGCTAATGGCAATGTGAACTCCACCAGTAGCCAGAACTCCACCAGCAACCAGGTGGGAAAGGACATTTACTGGGAGCTTGGGAGGTGAACCCAGACAAAGAACTGCCCATCCTGCTGGTCTGTTTGATTTGACCAGGAGCAGAGACAGAGCAGCAGATCCCAAACGGGTAGTGTGAGAACAGGGTGGATTTTACTGCCCAGTCAGTCCCCTAGAGCCTAAGGAGGCAAAGACAAGGGAAAGGACTGAGCATACATTGTGCTGGGAGTAAACTCATTTTTGATGGAGTGAACTCATTTGTGACCCAGTGAACTGCATCAATGTGGCATTCTACAGGTTCCACCCAAGACAGCCCTCAGACCTGACAGCCAGCAGATCAAGAACTCTAGTAGTGGCATGTCAGGTGCTATTTTGTACACTGTGTGCAAAAGCTTTAGGACTGCAGGGGAAAACAGTGAACTGCAATGTGCTGAGCTCATAAGACCTCACTAAATTCCGTGGATTGCACTGGTCCTGCAAGAAAATAATACCGACTGTGGCATCATACGGGTCAAAATAGGTCCATGTGGCACCCAGACCTAACGTCCAACAAGTTCCGACAACATCAGTGCCACCAACAACCTAGCTATATAGGACACCTGGTGTCTCCCTAATCCTGGGACCTGCTCCAACTGGAAGTGGGAGAAAGGCTATATATACAATGGTGCAGCTTCAGCACAGTGTCATAGGAGGTGGAGATTGGTGAGCCAGGAGTTGGGGCTACGGAGTTCTTTGAGGAAATCTAACATAAGAACCCAGACCTGGAACCTGCTGGAGGGAGTGGCACAATTGGCTGCAAACAAAGAGTTGTATATCAACTGCAATAAGTAAAACCAAACTGTAGACCCATGGGTGACACAGCTTAGAAGCCTGCCCCAAGGAGAAGACTCTGATAACTAGAAGTAAAATGACCAAGAGCAAAACAAGAGACAAAGGCACAATGAATATTACTGAAAACTCCCCTGCAAAGGAGCAAAAACCTATGCCAACCACAGAGTTCACTGAGGAAGGCATTGAGAAAATGGGGACACAGAATTCAGAAAACTCACTTTAAAGTTTCTGATCAACAATGAGAAGCACCTACAAGAGTTCAAAGAATTTAAGGAATATTTTACACAAGCAGTAGCAGCAATAAAGCAAATCAAGGCTGATATATCAGAAACTAAGAACAGTAGAGCAAATTAAAACTTCATGGCTTGTAAATTTCTATTTTTCTTCCTATAGTTTTGTATTGTGACTTTTCATTTAAGAGATGTACAGAAACTATGAAATGGAGGCTAACATATCTAGATGTGAGGATACAATGCATTATGCATCTCTACTTCCAGCCAAATATGGACTTACAATGAAACTGTTTATCTTGACAATAGGATGCTGGACTCTGCCACTGTCCATGCCCGTAATGATGGACATATGAGTGTGTATGAGGAACTACACTTTAGTAATGATATAGAAGAACTAGGACAGGGGGGTAGGAAGGAACTTGGGTGGGGTTAAGGGAAATCCCAGGAGCCTATGGAACAGTATCATAAAATGATAAATAATAAAAATTTTTAAAAAAGAAACTTACAATGATGGGAGCAGATAAATGAATTTTAAGTGTTCTCCCTTGAAATTTTGCTAGAAACATCTAACAATCTAAATACTAATGACTACTTCAGTCCTGCATCAAACAATGAATCTCAATCATGAACTCTATGCTCATACATTTAAAAGATTTGAAAGGCAGAGTTATGTGGTAGGAGAGGAAAAGCAGAAAAACAATCTTTCATTTGCTTGTTTTGCTCCATAAGGCTGCATCAGCCAAAGCTGGGTGGTTCTGAAGCCAGAGATTTCTTCCAGGTCTCCCATGTGAGCGGCAGGGGCCCAAGTACTTAGGCCATCCTCTGCCTTGTTCCAAGGCATGTTAGCAGAAAGGTGAATCAGAAGTGGAGCAGCTGGGACCGGAACTGGTGCCCATATGGGATGCCAACACTGCAGGCATCTAGGCATTTCTGCCAATTTTGAAGCTATCATGACTTTACTACCAAACTTCATAATCTTCCATTACGAAAGGTATACTGGTGTTTTGTTTACTCCCAAAGCATCTTTATTTCACACTCACGTTTGAGAGCGTTCCCAAGCACACAATTCTGAAACTTTCTCTTCATTGTACTTTCAAGTATTACGTGCTATCTTTACATGCAAAACCACATGGTAGAGGATTGATCTTCCACTCTTCTGACCTATTAGGTTCCAAAGTCTCGAAAGCGGTCTGATGAATGATCAATTTGGATTAGGTACACACACACCGCAATCTTGCCTGGTCACAGAACTCCCCACAGAGCTCAGTGGCAGTCCTCGAGCTCATGCTTCAATTGTCTCAGCCACCATCGCTGCAGTCATCTGGCCCCGGCTCCAGGCACCTCCATGACACTGTAGTCCATTCACTGCTACCAACATGGGTCACGTCAGAGTTTGATGATTGCTGGATGGCCTAATTCAACAAGTCCTCTGTAGGTGCCTGACAGTTATGTAGAGGGATGAACATGCTTGTTGGTTATGATGTCGTGCCAGCCAGTAACCACAATCACTGCTACTGCTTTGTAGACATGCAAATGGTTTAAACGATTTTGCTGGCAGTTTGCGTGCTAGAGGTTGTTAAGGACAAAGCAGGGCCTCATAAGGAAATTTATCTCTGTCTTCCAGAAATACTTACTTTGAACCGCTTTAATAAAATTAATTTTAAATTGTACAAGACTGTCCTCTTAACTCATTTTTCAGTTTCTTCTAAGTATTATATTCTTTATGTAAAAACAGCTCATTCCAATTTCTCAAATTACTGTATCAAACTTTCAACTAAGGGAAACAAGCAGAAAACCTATAGTTCATGTCTTAGCATTTTCATGAAATCATAACAATGCAAATATTTATTTTCTTCTGGATGGTTTTTATTGATTTCAATTAAGAGAGGGACAAAATCCACTGGTTCACTCCCCAAATACCTGCACTGGCAGGGCCAGGCGCCAGAACTCCATCTGTCTTCCACATGCATGGCAGAGACCCTGCTCTTGAGCCATCACTGCTGCCTTCCCTGTTGTACATCAGCAGAAAGCTGGGATTGCAGTAAAGTCAGACTCGGACCCAGGCACTCCAGCATGGGATACAGGCACTGCAAGTGGCATCTCAGCCACTACACCAAACACTCAACCTTCTTCTTGACTTTTTACTGATTATCATGAACATTTAAGTTAACTGAGGGTATAACTATGAAATTTAGACAATAAATATGCTATCTGATGAATAAGCTAAGAAAGGTAAGTAATCAATGGAGAAATTTCTCCAAATCTGAAAGTATCCTAAAACCTATATAATTCAGCTAGGGCCTAACAGTATGAATAATTAATCTGTTCAATTCCTAGGTTACTTTTGTGTTTATATAACCACTAAGAATGTTTCACTAAAGCAAAATATGACCAAAAAGTAAAAACCATAGACTTTCAATAACATAAAACTCTTGTAACAGTAATTACAGAACATGAATGTTTTAATGAATTTCATATTGCAATGAAGACATTGAACACTTAAAAAACAATTACATCAATACAATACAAACAACTGATTCCACATAACGCTTACAAATGCAAACTTTTTCCTCCAAAAGAAAAAAACTCATCTTCACAGATTTAAGTAACAAATGATTTATATAGAATTCTTCCAGATTTCAAACAATGTACAGACATTCTGACTCTACAGAAACTGATGTGCAGTGGTTGAGAAACTGTTGCTTTGTCTAACAGCATATCTCTTAAGAAATCTTTATCAACACACATTATCTAGCAACTAAATATTTTCCTTCCATAAATAAATGAAATTCTGGACACATAAGCATACTGGACCAAAAACGTTCCCGTTTCCAAATACTATTTCAAATGAGATCACATGAGACTGACAATGTGATATGATTTCAGTCACACATACACACACATGCCCACACAGATGCATGTATTCAAGATCCCCAACCTCATGACTATTGAAGAGAACATGGCCACACTAGCAGTGGGTGAATTCCTGTTAGAAGACACACCAGTTAGCAGTTAAGTCAGTCCTGCTCCTGAGAACTCGGCTGCAGCACCTTTGAGGTCTTGCGCCCTCTCCTGGAAATGAGTGAAAGTGCCTCGTCTGGGGTGTCAGAGGCTGGTCCCTCCAGTTAGCCAGAGAAGGTGGGCAGATATTGGCAGTGAAAGTCACTAGTCTGCATACAACTAAATGGCCATGATAAATACATTTTTAAAAATTTTCAAAACTGTTTATTCTGGCAGGCATCTAGACTTTCAAATTAAAATACAAGGAACCTAAGAACCAGGCTTGTGCAGCTTGTCACTGGAAGTCATCCGAACGCTCACGCTTTTGCATCTGCAGTGCAATGGAAGGGGAGATGGCAATCAGGTCTTTCACTGGGAGGGAAAACTGGGACCCAGTAAATATCCTGAGACAGCACTCCATGAAGCAACACTACGCTTAGGATCACAGGAGCTGAAGCTTGAAATTCTAATCAACCACAGTGACTAGTCTGATATTGGTTCTCAAAAACTGATCAGATAAATATGTCAGGCTTAAAACTATAATGAATTTTCAAAATTTCTAAGTCAAAGAAAACATATGCCACTTGTCCCTTAGTCAGCAATCTCAACTCCCTGTCCATATTGGTTACTCCAGTGTTCTCTTTCTCTTCCAGACTGTGTCAATTCATTTCAGATGTTCTGAATGACCCAGATCTGAAAACTCTCATCAGCTCCTGCAGAACCACAGGTAATAGTGTCAGTGAGGTGTCTTCTCATGCTTGGTAAGCTAATAAGCCACACCAGAGAACACCTGCAAATCCTATACAATACACCTTACCAAATTACTACTGTTTACCAACTGGCCACTCTCCTGAGTCAACACCAAACAGCGAAACGGGGGAGGGAAAGTGGGGAGGAGTTGCTTTGACAAGTCTAAGTACTGCTTTTCGATGCCTCTCCAAGTCAGCCTCCAAATGGCCACATTTAACGAATTACAAATGTGAGAGGCAGTGAGATGTCTGTATCAAAGCCATAACTCCCTAAGAAATACAAACTTAACAAATATCAGATGAACAGTAATTTCTAAGAAGGCAAGAGTAACAGGCTCACTCACACGGCAGTAAGATTGGCACTGAGCGGTATCCCAGCTACTTGAAACAAAAGCATCTGACCACTTTAGGAAAGATTTCTTATGGTTATTACCTTATTTGCCCAATTGAAGAACCTTTTACCATCGGGATACATTTGACGTGATGATTGTCTTTCTTGCCTTGTGAATTGAATTCAGTATTCCAGCTATAAATCAAAAGTGCTTTAGCTAGGCAACAGTGAGACTCCAAAGTTTTCCAAATATTTATTTTTGAGGTAGTACTCATTTATTTGCATTGTTGGCTCTCAAATACCACCAAGGAGTGAACCCATTTAGAAATATGCAAACCAAAGATGTAGTAAATAAATAAGATTTTGTTTTCAGGTAGCAAGCCTTCTTACAAAGGTCAAGTCACATTCAGTGGATAAATCATTTGAAACTTCTAAAAACTGTTTATAACCATAGCTATAAACTAAAGTGCTTTAAATTTTGCTTAAAATCTAAAATCAGTGATTAGAATCATTTTACTTTAGAACTTGCTAATATGAGATCTCAGGAGGTTGAAAGTTTCCTATAAAAAAAAGCAGAAACTTTTTCTTTTCAAAAGAAACTCTCAGAATGTGCTAAATTTTAAACTGCTAACATCCCAGTTATTTTTTCAGGATGTAATGGAGATTAGAGTTAGAACTGAATTACACATAGCAAAGGCTAAAGCTTCATTCAGAAGTAAACATGAAATCTGTTCATTCCTGCCGCTCATCAGCCAACACAGACGTAGCTCAGCAATCTTCCCAGTACAAGGTAGATATGTATAATTATTCCAGAAAATGCAACAGACTGCTTAGGCCTCATAATAAGTACAAAGGTTCACATTTAATTACACAACCGTAATGCCCTACTGTTCATCTGTCAAACGTTAACAACACACAAGTATTTTATCTGCTACATGGAAGGCGAGTTCCATTTCTACTGACCAGAAGATGCCAATATATACACACACAGAACAAAATAAAAAATAGGACCACTCATTTTTCTGTACATGTCATGCAAGCTGGCACAATGTGAGAACATATAAAAAGCACCCTTCCCCGGGTCAAACTCTCACACAATGGCTGATTAATATGCAGAGCCTGCATGAGTCAAAGGTCCATGGCAAACCACACAACTAAGGAACATCAGAAACTTATTTTTCCTGTAACAATGCAGGGATATTGATGTTCCAGCCAATGGCTTGCCTGTCAAAACCACAGGTGAACAAATTGCATATGGGGTGATCTTCACTCCACGCCGAGCAGCACACCATTCTTCTGTGGCCCTGTAAACAATCAAACAAACCAACATTAGTGTGTTGTTTATAAGCTCTTGGCCAAATTAATAACTATACCACTCAAAACAAACCACAGCAAACAAAAAATAACAACAGGAGTAGTCCAAGTGAACCAAAATACTAAGTACAGCAATCAGCCTTTAATAATCTACTGGCAGGGCCCGGCGCAATGGCGCAGTGGTTAAGGTCCTCGCCTTGCAAGCTCAGGATCCCATATGGGTGCCGGTTCTAATCCCAGCAGCTCCATTTCCCATCCAGCTCCCTGCCTGTGGCCCGGGAAAGCAGTCCAGGACGGCTCAAAGCCTTGGGACCCTGCACCCGCGTGGGAGACCCGGAAGAGGCTCCTGGCTTCGGATCGGCATAGCACTGGCCATTGTGCTCACTTGGGGAGTGAATCATGGGACGGAAGATCTTCCTCTCTGTCTCTCCTCTCTGTATATCAGCCTTTCCAATAAAAAATAAAATAAATCTTTTAAAAAGTAATAAATAATCTACTGGCAGAGTCATATTGAAATGAGTGATGTCAGGACATAAAATGAATGAATTGGTTTAATAAAACTCATGTCAAAAGCACATTATGATTCTTCCTTTAAGAAAATTAGTAATACTTCATAATAAGACAAAGAGCAAATAATCAATCTGAAAAAAATTAAAGTTAGGAAAGAACCCAGAAAATATATGGGGACAAGTTAAATTAAACTCAATGAAAGATTTCAAATATACTTATACAAATAATCAGTTCAAATAATAAAGGAGCTACAAATGTAATGGCTAGAAAGCAAAGATTGTAAAAATATTCCCTTAGGGGTCCAGCATGGTGGCCCAGTGGCTAAATCCTGGTCTTGCATGCACCAGGATTCCGTATGGGTGCCAGTTTGTGTCCCAGCTGCTCCACTCCCCTTCCTGATCCATTTGTGTGCTGGGAAAGTAGTTAAGGATGGCCCAAAGCCATGAGACTCTGCACCCATATGGGAGACCTGGAAGGAGTTCCTGGCTCCTGGCTTCGGATCAGCTCAGCTGTGGCCGTTGCGGCCACTTGGGGAGTGAACCAGCAGGTGGAAAATCTTCCTGTCTCTCCTCTCTGTAAATCTGCCTATCTGTCTTTCCAATAAAAATAAATAAATCTCTAAAAGAAAAAAAAGTGGATTCCTGCCATTTTCCAGGATTCCAATTAAATATACGAATGTTGGAAAAATTACAAAACAGTTGACGTACACACTATGACAAATTAGCACAAAGGTATATGCATATGGAAGCATATATGCCTATACGCCTAATTAACAATGTCTGCAAAATAAGGTGTTCTATAGCATATAATACAATACAAGGGACACTATTAAATAAAACTGACAGATAAATAGGCAAAAAACATATCAAAGCATGGCACAAATATTCCTTCTGCAAACATTCATATATATGGTACTACTGATCTCTCTGGAGAGAATTACAATAGACAATAAAAATTACAATAGGCCATATAAATTAGACTGACAAAGATATAACAAAGGGCTACATACTTCTTTGCAATTACATCTTTATTAATAACAAAGAAGAAACAATATATTCCTGAATTGGCAGGAAAACAAATCTTCAGACCAGGATGGTTTTAAAAATAAACTCAAGTCATTCATTACCAAAATCTCTAGCAAGTGAGGAGGGAAAACTTCCACATGGCCAAGAGCTGAATACGAGAGGGCTACAAGCGATGTCTCCTGGTTTTGACAAGCCCATGCTTGCACCTCATGTGGAGAACTTGTCTCTCGTGCTCACAATGTCACTATCCATGTAGAGGATGCAGGAAGACACTGCACACACCTCTGCATGGCCACACTATGCGCTCACACACTGAATTCTTGGGGATTGTCAGTATAGGACCCTGTGTGCTCTGCTGTAGATCAACACTTCCTAAGTTACTGCATTCCACTGATCCTGTCTTCCTGAAACACATTTTCAGAAGTGTTGCTTACACTCTCCCCAGAATATAATGATTTTAAATTATTCATTTTTCTACTACTTTGAAATCCAAAGAAATGTTTTTGTTTGTTCTTTAAAACAATCAGCTCAAACAACTCAGAGTAATACACACCAGTGATTTCTAGTCCTGGTTTTATGACACTGAAAACCACATTTATCTGAAGAAGTGTAACCAATTCAAAATGTAATAAATGTCTTAATCTCAAACATAAATATAGTCCATGTACTAGTTTGCAGGAAATAAATTCAAACACAACAGAATTCTGCAATTCCAACAAGGCTAAATGTTTACAGATAAAAGGAAACTGCCTACCCAGAATCTGGATCACATGGAACCTTTTAGAATTCTCCATATTCTTGAAGAAAAATACTCTCCAAAGTACATAAGTCAAACAAAATCTCATAGTTTTTTTCAAAATGTAAACTTCACAAGTTACAGACCAATTTTACATAATGAACACAAAACAAATTCAAAAGATAATATTCTGTGTTTAGATAGATATATCAATGATACTTAGTAGTTATCAAAATATTAAAAACTTCACCTTAAAGGAGTAATGTATGGTTTATTAGAGGATTGTGAAGCCTTTCCTTTGTTACTCTTAATTTCATGGGTAATTTTTCTATAATGTGTATTCAAAGAATAAAAAATAAAAATCAACATTAAGTTTGAACAAGATAACAATGAGCCATGAAAGAGAATAGCTGTAGTTCTGTTGTACTGAGGACGGCACTGAAGGACGAGGCAGGAGCAAGCATGTTTTAAAAATGTGTACTAATAGCCTGTTATGGGCCCAGCGGCATGGCCTAGCAGCTAAAGTCCTCGCCTTGAACGCACCGGCATCCCATATGGGTGCCGGTTCTAATCCCAGCAGCTCCACTTCCCATCCAGCTCCCTGCTTGTGGCCTGGGAAAGCAGTTGAGGATGGCCCAAAGCTTAGGGACCCTGCACCCGTGTGGGAGACCTGGAGGAAGTTCCTGGATCCTGGCTTCGGATCGGCATAGCATTGGCCATTGTGCTCACTTGGGGAGTGAACCATTGGACGGAAGATCTTCCTCTCTGTCTCTCCTCCTCTCTGTTCATCTGACTTCGTAATGAAAATAAATAAATCTTTAAAACAAAACCAAAAATAGTCTGTTACCTGTCGACTACTCCGGGGAAGCCGTGCTAGTCGCACTCCCGACATATCAAACAATCGCACCTGTCTGTTGTCATGGGGCAGGGCTATGATTTTTTGGCCAACACATACATTGATCCTACAGAGAAGAGATAAAATTGGGTGTGTTTAAAAACAACAGTGACAATAAATTTTTCAGTTTACAGATAATGAGACAGTAGTATGTTCCACATGATTCACATTTTGAGGTAAACCACACTAGGAAACTTCAGGTACTGCCTGCCTTTGGCATTAGAATAGATTCTCATTTATTTAGACATAACTACAAGATCACATTCAGACCTCCCAGAAACACATGTCTGGCCATAAATGGTTCTCTCTTACTCTTTTAAGTCTTACTACACCAAACTGGCTTTGTGCTGAATAAGCTTCACATATTTATGGAGTACCGGGTTTGCATTAAAGGGTCAATAAAATGTATTTTCCCTGGAGTCTAAACCACTTGTCCCAAAGCTCTACCAAGTAAACACTAAGTCTATGTGAATTACACACTGCATCACAACAAACCCCTGCAGGGCAAGCTGAATACATCATATGTGATGAAATGCTTCACTTTACCTGTTAATGGCAGAATCTGTGCGAATAGTTGCGATTGGGGATCTCATATTTTTTAAATCCCAGACTTTCACTGTGCGGTCATCACTGCCTGAAACAACATTGTCTCCCACGGTGAACACAGCAGAGGTCACAGTGCTGCAAGTGAAGGGCACAGGTCAGAGGCCTCCGAGGTAAGGGTATGGGATGCAACACTGGTCCACCCACACTGCCTGATAAACAATTTTGCTTCCAGTGGTGGCATGGCAACACAGATGGAATGTAGGTTACAAAAATGCAAACCCCAGTTAGCTGCCTTCTAGCCTACGAACTTCTTCTGCTTCTTCGATTTTCCCAATAAGAACACTTGATTTCTTTTCAGGAGGAAAATAGAGCCCACACTATCCTATTTTATTATTTATAGGCAATGAAGCAAAAAGAGGTTACTAGAAAAAATACAGATTAAATAGAACCTGCCAAAGCTTCTACAAATTTGGGTCTGATGGCAAAGAATAAGAAAAAAAAAAAAAAATCTGATCCCAGTAGCAATCAGAACACCGAAATTAGAAAAAAACTTATTCTGACTATTCAAAAATAGCAAAAGACATCAACAGAGACTCCTCTAAAGACACACACACATAAGATATTCAACATCATTGGTCATTAGGGAAATGAAAGTCAAAGCTAAATTGCTACCACTTACATACATTAGGATGGCCTTTATCAAAAATCAAGACAAAACAAAGCAAAACACAGGAAGTATTGGAAGAATGTGGGAAGTTAAAAGGTCCAGTGCACTCATGTTAGGACTTGAAAATGGTGCAGCCACTCGAAAACAGCACAGTGGATGGTTAGGAATTCCACTTCTGGGTACACACTCTGAGCTACTGAACCCAGGGACACAAACAGATGGTCACAGTAGCATTACTGACAACAGACCAAAAGGTACAGGTGACCCACCATCAGCAAGCAGATGAATCTTGAAAACGTGACAAGCACATATAACACAGCACTATATACCATTAAAAAGAAGAAAATTGTAACACATGCTACCACATTAATGACACTTGAAAACAAAGAACTACCCCGGGATGAGGTCCCTGGAATAGATCAATCCAGAATCAGAAAAGCCAAGTACAGATCATGAGGGCCTGGGGAAGGTGAGAATGCAGAACTACTTAAGGGGTCTAAAGTTTCTCTTTACGAGAATGGAGAAGCCCTGGGTACAGCAGTGATGTTGCGCAACAACGTAAATTTGCTTAATGCCACTGAACTGCATCCTTAAAAACAACTTAGCCAACTTCGCTACATTTTTAAATGTTTAATTTTTTATTTGAAAGGCTGATTTACAAAGAGAAGGAGAGACAGAGAGAGGAACAGAAAGATCTTCCATCCACTGGTTCATACCCCCAAATGGCCAGAACAACCAAAGCAGAGCTGAACTGATCTTAAGCTGGAAGGCAGGGGTTTCTTTTGGGTCTCCCATGTGAGTGCAAGACTTTGAGCCATCCTCTGCCACCTTCCCAGGCCATAAACAGGGAGCTAGGTCAGAAGTGGTACACCAAGGACTCCAATTGGTGCCCAAATGGGATGCCAGTGCTACAAGGCTGAGATTAGCCTGGTAAGCCACTGCCCCCTATTTTATGATATTTAATGATAATTTTATAAGAGTTTGTAAGGAAAAACTCAACATTGGAATCACAATCTCAGAACATATTTTTATAATTCAAGATAATAACTAATAATTCTCTAATTCAAATGTTACAAATCCATGACTGTTTTGGGGGAAAAGTTCATCAAAGTGATGTTTTATAGGTGATAGAGGACAGCACTATGGTGTAGCAAGTAAAACTGACACCAAATGGGCATCAGTTTGAGTTTCAGCTGCTCCATTTCTGATCCAGTTCCCTACTAATGGACTGGGAAAAGCAGCAGAGAATGGCCCACGTGTTAGGCCCCTGTGCCCACATGGGCTATCCAGATGAAACTCCTGACTCCTGGATTCATAATGAAAGGCCTTCTCTTACCTTCAGAAATTATTAATTTACCTGGACAAAAGCTTAGTTTCTATAACCTGAATTTATCCTACACCCTTACACTTAAATGGTCACAGGCAACATTCTAAATGCAATAAAAAATCAGAATATAGCAAAGTTCCTAAGAATCAAGTAGCCCCAACAACGAGCGACAAGTTTTGCCTTAACGCTGATGCTCCAGGAACAATGGGGAAGAGCATGATGGGACTGAAAGCTCACAAGGCACATCTGCCTCCCCACAGCAAACACACCTCTGCGGTAAGTTCACTCATACTAATCCTCCAGTCTGACAAGGACAGGCTGTAGAAGCATCCTGTGCACCCCAAAACACAGGAGCCACTCTGCCCCAGCCTAGGACATCCTACCACATGTCCCTCCCTGTGTGTGACAACCAACAGTGCCTCCTGGAGCCAAAAGTACACCCATTAGAAACTCCTATGTGTAAAGGGACATAAAAGAATATATAATCTTGCACATGGCCATATATGATAAAAAAAAATGGGTAGAGAAAGATTCAATCTATAAAACTAGCTGAGTTTTTTATTTAAGAATAAAAAGAATGGTCTAAGAGTTTAGCTGTTGTTATCCCTTACATGCAAAGCTTAGAATGAAACTTAAAGAACTTCAACTGCTGGTTGAGCTCCAGAAGACCTAAGTTAGAGATGCACACTTATTTCTTCTTAAATCACAGTCTTCAGAGGTTTTATCCAAATTAAATGGCCACTAACGTTCCACCAACTTGACGAAAAAAAATCTAAAAAAAAAATCATCTAACCCTGTGTTCATGAAATACTAAAAGACATTAGTCTTTTAATAAATCACAATCTCGAGAGGTACTGCAAGACATCAAAAGAAAAAAGAATTGGCAAAGAAGCAGGAGTTTTAAAAGCACCCTTGGACCATGGATCCCACAGGGAAGCTGGGGAGCTACAACCACTCGCTGGAAAAGCTTCAGACTCTGCCAAACTCCAGCAAAACCCATTTATCTTGTCGTGGAGAGCAGCCGAGCATATACTTCCAGCTGACAGTATGGTACCTTCTCACCGCACACCACTGCCTGATCTGGAACACTCTGTTCCCTCCGTGGGTCTCAATCAACAGAAATACTGTAATGCTAGCATTCCTCATTAGGACTAACAGCTGTCTTCCCAGTCACACAGAGACACAAAACTGTTTTGCATAACAATCTGCCGAAATTTCACGGCTAAGAAAAAAAAATATATGATGTGGAAAATGCTGGATCATGAAATGTTGATGCAGTGTGCTTTTCTGGCACCACATCAAAAATTGACTGAAGAGTTTACATTTCTTATTTTTAAAATAGAGTTTCCTACAAAAACAACATTTTTAGATGTGAGAAGACCACTGTGTTCACAGACAGCCCATACTCTAATAAAACACCACTGTATGGGGCACGCCTTTCCTTAAAACACAAACTTATCCATCCAAGATACATAGAATATAACACTTACAGGTGGTGACATGCTGGCACATCAGGCTAATCCTCCACTTGCAGCCCCGGCATCCTTTAGGGGAGCCAGTTCAGGTCCTAGCTGCTCACTTCCAATCTAGCTCCCTGTTTGTGGCCTAGGAAAGCAGCAGAGGATGGCTCACATGTTTGGGCTCCTGCACCCAAATGGGACACCTGGAGGAAGTTCCTGACTCCCAGCTTCAGACTGGTACAGCTCTGGCCATTGTGAACATTTGGAGAATAAAGCACAAACCAGCAAATAGAAGATCTCTCTCTCCGCATTGTCTCTGCTTTTCTCTCTGTAACTCCTTCAGGTGAAGTAAATAAATAAAAATTAAAATAAATATAAGAATACCTATTACTGTATATTGACTTCATTACTTAGGACAGTCAAGTGTTTGTAGATATTACACAGTTCACATAAAGGCACAAAGAAAACACCAAATGGGGCCTGGCGCAATAGTGTAGTGGTAAAATACCTTGCCTTGCACACGCCGAGATCCCATATGGGCGCCAGTTCTAATCCCAGCAGCCTTGCTTCCCATCTCCAGCTCCCTGCTTGTGGCCTGGGAAAGTAGTCGAGGACAGCCCAAAACCTTGGGACTCTGCACTCGCATGGGAGACCCAGAAGAGCTCCTGGCTTCAGACTGACTCAGCTCCAGCTGTTGCGGCCACATGGGGAGTGAATCATGGGATGGAAGATCTTCATCTCTGTCTCTCCTCCTCTCTGTATATCTGCCTTTCCAATAAAAATAAATAAATCTTAAAAAAAAAAAAAAGAAAACACCAAATGTCACCCTCAAAAGATGCTGACTTTAACAGCAGAGCCCTCTCTGGAGTTGGTAACCAAAATGCGTGCCAACAACAGTCCAGGACTCCCTGAGGAGGGCACCTGCACAAAATACTGTAAACCGCAAGGTAACTCGGTGCAGCTGTGTTTGCTGTGTTTGCTGTGTTTAAAGGAACCAGATTCCTCCCTATTTTTTCACAAATTATTTGTAGAACTTCAAACTTCAAAAGATCAAACAACTTTTCAGCTGCAAAAGCCAGAAAGCCAAAACACACAGACATTTGAAGATCTTAGAAAGTAGATCTTTGTTTTGCCTTTCCTACTTTATATGTTTTTCAGAATTTAAAAACCTACTGAAAAGCCTGTATTTTAAGAATTCAGATACCTGAGAAATAGAAAAGTCATTTCTAAATAAAACTTATTTCTGAACATTCCTGAATGCTTACATCTCAAAACATGGACTCTTAAAACAAAAAGCAAAGAAAAAGTCAAATTTGTATCACACACAATGCTTTTAACTGTTTCCAGGAACAAAAAAGTTAACCCATCTAACATGTAGACTACCTTAATAATCTCATTTGGTTACACTTCTTTTTAAACCTCCCTTTGGTTGCACTGCATTCTAAATATCCCTTTCTTCCAGAAATAATGGAAACATTTCCAGTATAAATTTCTCTTAAGTGTGTACCTCAGTATACATTAAGTATTTATTAAGTACCTACTGTGTGCCAAATTGCATTGTGTTGGAGAGCATGCCACAGAAAAGGGAAAAATGCTGTCTAGCACTGCTCCATTCAAGTCAGAAAACTGGTAATATTCAGTCCATTTTTAACAAAATATTGTACAATTTTAGGGGGCATAA